TGATTAAATACCACCAAAAGAAAGCTCTAGTTGTGTGAAGAAAATGATAAAATTTTAGTTTGGGTACAATGTTGTATGACTGCGCAATTGTCATTCAAAGTGTGAGAGCGCTGAAACCTGAAAAATGGCCTGGGCAGGACGGTGTAAAATTGCCCGGTATTGAATTGGTTAAAAAGGCTGTTTGGAAGAAGGGGAGGATTAGAGAAGATGGGATCACAGTCCCCAATCCATCTGCTGATAGTACAGAGCCCTAGGAGACACTCTGCACATGCTCAATTGTGTGTATTGCTAGAGGATTTTTTTTTTTTTTGAGGGGGGGGGGGGGGGGCAGGGCATGTGATCAGCACAGGACCAATCAGCACTGTCCAGACAGTGGGTCAGGGGTCATGCAGCCTCATAGGACAGTCAGAGAAAGAAAACTCCTACAAGAATAACCAGTAATCAGCTGTACACTGTCAGAAGTCACAAGACTGCAATATCCTGCTGATGATAAAAGTTAACAGTTTATATTTACTAAAATAATTGCATTTCCATGTTCTGTGTACTGTGGGAGACCAAATATAACAAATGCAGGGTCCTGGGTTTAGTAACATTTAATAGTGCTGAGGGCCAAATGCTGGTCCAAACCAGGAAGGCAAGTATTGAGGCATGGAGAATTTACTGGGGTAAAAACCTAATACCAGTTGAAACATGTCGTCCATGTACAGAGATAGACCTTGCAAGTAGTAGACATCATAGGTTTGAGCATGGTGGGAATAACGAATTCACAAATGCCCCTCGTCCCTCAAAACCTAAGCTGCAACACCCATACCACTAAAAAGTTGAATTCAAGCCTCAATCCAACTAATCTTAAAACCACACTGCTCCTTACTGAATGGTTAGACCCCAAATTATAGGTGGTCTAACAGAGCATGATGCTGAACATATCTTGCTTATAACATCCTAGATGGAAAAGAGGTGTCACAGATTTCTGTATCTCTCCTCTTCTCTTATTGTGATCCACTGTATACTCGGCCAAACAGGATAATGCTCCAGATGATGTGATAATGTACAAATGATTTATTAAAATAAATAAAAAAGCCACTTACAAATTTCAAAAATAAACAAGCATGTAAGTCAAACGCTTCTGGTGCCAACTCAAACATACGTTTCATCTCAATAGAGGGGATCACTACACATGTGGAGGATTATTGTGGACACGGCTGTTCATCATAATCAGAATTTTGTCATCAAGAGACTTTTTCATTGTTTGGTGATTCATGAATTTTGACTTCATAATAATGTTGGTTGAAGAACATTTAAAAGCATAAGTGACTCACCATTAGTATATTTTTTTACCAATAGCGCAGCAACAACTGGATACCACGTATTGAGTATTTGTGTTGGTACTTTTGAGTGCAGCTGTTGTTTCACTGTTTATTTTGTTTTATGGTCCACAATTTGTTTGGATTTTTTTGGCACTTAGCACAGTTACATAAATTTTCAGGTATTAAAAATGCTCCCTCCCCACTTCTTAATCCATGCTGACTAACCAGTTAAAAAAAAAAAAAAAATGTATATACTTCCCTAATTTCAGCCCCCTCTGGTCTGGTCACAGAGTCTGCTGGAATATCCTATACAGTGCATTCATAAAGTATTCAGACCCCTTCACTTTTTTTAATTTTGTTATCTTGCAGCCTGATACTACGCAGTTGTTTAACCCCTTCACACCAACAAATATGCAGCCTCACAGAAGTGGGCTTTTTTCCATGGGGCCGCATTTTTGCGTACCCGTTTTTGTTCTGGGAGCATGCCGCACAACGTGCTCCCAGCACAAAGGTGGGGTTGTCACTGAGAGCCCCGGGTACCATTCTAACGATTGGAACTCGGGACTCCAGATTCTGGGTCACATGATCGCTGTGACAGCCTCTGATTGGCTATCACAGTGATCAGTCACTGTGAAGCTCGCCCCCTTTGTTTTTTTTTTCCTCTGTAAATGGAGGAGAAAGATAAACTGTATCTGTCTCCTTGCAGAGAAAAAAAGATAAATATTCAAAAAAGAATAGAAAAAAATAAAGACAAAATACTTAGATCAAGGTTTGATCTAGTTCAGTGCCACAGTAAGTGTTTGGGTCAAGGTTTTTTTTTTTGTTTAATTGGTATCAGTATCGATGTGTTTTAGGTTAAAAAAAAAAAAAAAAAAAAAAAACACCCCAAAAAACAAAAATGCGCACTATTGTTTCTGGGCTGTAGTACAGATACAAACAACAATACACACACACACACACATATATATATGGTATCACTGCGACCGTCAAGAGCTGGAAAATTTATTTTAGGATGTTCTTTGGTGGTAGGTTATGGCAGTAACAAGAAACACAGCTAAAATTAGAAAATATTTTTTTTTACTATTTTGGGCCAGCATTGCTTTGATAAAAAAAAAAAAAATCAGGTGATATCCATTATCATTTACCACCAAATGAAAGCCAATTTGTCCTGAAAAAAACAAGATATAATTCATCTGGATGTATAAAGTAGTTGTGATGATATGTACGGTTTTACTAACACATGTCAAAGTTGTAAAATGTTACTTGGGCATTAAGATTTGCTTTTCCCTTAGGCGTGAAGGGGTTAAATTCATTCAGTACCCCATAATGAAAAAGCGAAAACAGAATTTTAGAAGTATTATGCCAATGTGATATTTCAGTTTTTCCCTTTTCATACATTTGCAAAGTATTCAGACTCTTTGCAACAACATTTAAAATTTAACTCATATGCCTCCCATTCCTCTTGATCATTGCTGAGATGTTTCTACACATTGATTGGAGTCCACCTGTGGTAAAATGACATATATTGATTGGACATGATTTGGAAAGGCATGCACCGCTCTATAAAAGGCCTCACAGCTGATATACTGTATCAGAGCAAAAGCCATGAGGTCAAATGAACTGCATGCAGAGCTCAGAGACAGGACTGTAGCAAGGCACAGATCTGTGGAAGGCTACAAAAAACGTTTCTGCTGCACTGAAGGTCCCGAAGAACACATTAGCCTCCATAATTCTCAAACGGAAGACATTTGGCAGAACCAGAACTCTTCCAAGAGTTGGTCATCTGGCCAAACTGAGCAATCACGGGAGAAGGGCCTTAGTAAGAGAGGTGAACAAGAACCCAATGATCACTCTGTCCTATCACAGGATCTCTAGAGCTCAGTCAAAGTTCCAGAAGGATAACCATCACTGCAGCTCTCCACTGATCTGGGCCTTATGGTAGACTGCCTAGATGGAAGCCTCTCCCCAGTGCAAAAAACACATGAAAGCCTGTTTGGAGTTTGCAAAAAATCACCTGAAGGACTTTCAGACTGAGGAAAAAGATTCTCTGGTCTGATGAAACCAAGCATGAACGGTTTGGCCTCAATTCTAAACATTATGTCTTGAGGAAACCAGGCAATGCTCGTCTCCTGCCCAATACCATGCCAACACTGAAGCATGGTGGGGTGTCAGCATCTTTCTGAGGGGGTGTTTTTCAGCAGCAGGGACTCGGAGACTGGTCAGGGTTGAAGGAAAGCTGAATGAAACAAAGTACACAGTTATCCTCAATATAAACCTGTTTCAGGAGGCCAACTGCAGGCACTAGTAAGTGCCCCCTGATTAAACCCTGGTGCATGCGCAGTAGAATACCCTGCGGCCTCCTTGGATATGTGACATGAGAATCCCTGTAGGCTGTGGGCAATAGTAACACAATTCTCACCTAGGAGGGATCCTAGGAAATGGGGAGAAAATTCTCAAAGACAGGTAATAAAAAAATAAATAAATAAAATAAATAAAAAACCAATTTGCCATTTTGAGAGAGGAAAAGGGTATAGGTTGGATGGCGGACAGCAGCCTAAGAGGATCGTCCATTTAGAACCAAAATATATCTACAATTTATTCTTAACTACTGCTTTGGCACATCATTAGGGATGCTTAATTGTAAAAGTAGAAAGAAGATATAAAAAAGGCAAGTGTAAAGATGCATAGTTGTCACCACAGTTCCTGAGCTCCAAAGCCTTATTTGTTGCTGGTGAAAACCATGAAAAAGCATTTAAAAAACTATCATCACACAAGTTCACCTACATCTAAAATGGCACACAACTGTTGTGCTGAAAGGACAAGTCAGCACATGAAGTGCTCCCTCAGATGTCAAAAGGGAGGGGAACATTCCTGTCTGAAAGTCTACACATGGGTTTTTATACCAAGGAATATAACCAAACTATGTCAGCACAGTGACCAACTGCTTGCAAGACTAGCAACATTGTACAAAGATGCTTTTAAAGATGCTTAGTGGTCTTACCAATTGCATCCACCATGCAGGCTTCTCTTGTGTATGCCTCCACTGGGATTGTATTCTGGAAACAATGAAGGGACAGCACACCCTGACCACTTCTCCAGATGTCTACAATATGCTGCACTTTCGAACAAAGCTGAAATTGACAGAAAACATGTTAACTATATGAAAGCAGAAGAGCCTGGACAAAACTGTTCTTTGTTTGAACTAATTAAGTCCTCAGCTCCAGGTATACAGCACATCATTATATATTATACCACAGATTATATTACACAATCTATTACAGGACTTATGCAGAAGAAGCGAATATTACCCAACAATACAAGAGTGTCATAATTGTGAGCAAGCCGTGTGAACATTGTACCTACAGTTTCTGGCAATACAAGCATAATTAAAACAAGGCCCATGGCTGAAGGCATTTTCAATGAAGTGGATGACCAGAAGAAAAAAAAAAAAAGTTCTCATTTTTCGCTCCATAAGACGCACTTTTGCCCCCCAAAAAAGGGGGGAAAATGTCAGTGCGTCTTATGGAGAGAATATGGAGCGGCCGGTCTGGTATTTCCGCCACCGACACCGTGTCAGAATACTGGGCCGGCCGCTCAGCTCTTCTCTGCAGCAGGACCTTACCTGTTCCTTGGTCCAGCGCTGTACAGTCTTCCCGCGCCAGAATCTTTAGTGTGGGCACCTGGCTGTGACAGCTGTGTGCCCACTGCGCTTTGTGAATGGCCCGGTGCCTTCTGGTACCTGTCATGTGTCCCAGAAGACACTGGGCCATTCACAAAGCGCAGTGCTTCTCGTGCATGCGCAGTGGGTACCCGGCTGTCACAGCGGGGTACCCACACTAAAGGGAGGACAACTCCTCGGAAGTGGGAGCGGGTACCTGTCAAATTCAGGTACTCGCTCCCCCTCCCTCCCCAAAGGTCCACAGTCTTTGGTCATCTCCTGTACTGTGTCCGCAGTCTCTGGTCATCCCCTGTACTGTGTCCGCAGTCTCTGGTCATCTCCTGTACCATGTCTGCAGTCCATTGGTGGTGCATATTTTTTTTTCTTGTTTTTCTCCTCTAAAACCTAGGCACGTCTTATGGTCAGGTGCGTCTTATGGAGCGAAAAATACAGTAACAGATAGTCCTTGCCAAAGAATAAACAGGAAGGTCTACATACCCTCACACTAGAGGTGAACATGTCCTGTGCTGACCTGCAGCTGATATTTTTGAGAGAATATAAAAGCAAAAGGTATGGAATAAACACACAGAAAGTGCTATAGAATGGGATTGTACAACATAAGTCAAATTTATGCTAGGTGGTGGCCACAATTTTTGTTGGGAAACAATGTCCATTCCACTTGGAAAAACACACCGAAAGCATTGTACATAAGAAATATATAGTGTGAGGGGACTGTCTAGCAAATGTTACAGTCCAGCTATATAAATATGTTTCTACTGACTGCTACCATCTGCTGTATGAATCCTTCCTCTTTCGCCCCCCCCCCCACCTCCTTCATAATCCATACCATCAATGGATATAGTACACTGCATATATGATTTTTCTATACAGCACACTACTTCTGACAGTGTAAGCTCTTAACCTCCCTAGCGGTTTTCCCGAGTCTGGCTCGGGGGTTAAATCTTGCTGTCAAAGGCGGTATCTGTGTCCCGATCTGTGTCCCGGGTCCTGCACTGCCAGCAGCCATCCCGTCCGTCCATCCCCAGTCTCCTTCCCTGCTTCTCTGGTTCCCTGGTACCTCACGCTGAGCAGTGTGATCAGCGGGAGCCTGCCATGCTGTGCAGTCAGGGGGCGAGGCTTGCGGGAGGCGGGAATTATAAAAATAGATCACGGTCAAAATAAAGTGTTACTCTAGTGCATACACTGTAACGCTACCTCAGATATTTCTATAGTGCAGGTTTTCAGTTTCTGTGACTAAAAACAGTTTCGCACTCATGGTTTCCAAAAAGCGCCACGCTAGCGCTAAAGCGGTTTATGATGAGCTAGCGAACAGCGACAGTGAGGAGCTACTTGAATTGAGCGATAGCGACTCATGTGGCGATTTGTCTTCAGACACCGAAAGTGAAGATAGTGGCGAATCTGAGATAGATGTGCGTGATCTATGCACGTGGTGCACCATCGATTGTGATACGCCAGCGCTACCAAGATTTCCACTTACCAGCGCACCTGGTATGAAAATACACGTTGAAAGTGACAACCCCTTGGTGTACTTGGAATTGTTTCTGACTGATGAGGTTATTGAAATTATCGTGACAGAGACAAATAGGTACGAAGCACAACAACTAGCTGCTCCACACAGCTGGTTTTCACGAAGCAGAAAGTGGGAGCCTGTCACCAAAGAGGACATTTGGCTGTTTCTCGGCCTAATTATTCTGCAAGGAGTGGTGCGGAAACCACTGCAGAAGTGGTACTGGACCACCAACAAAATGCTCGCCACGCCGTTCTTTGGCACCGTCATGTCGGAGTACAGCTTTTCCCTCATTATGAAATGTTTGCACTTCGCAAATAATGAGGATTTTGATGAATAGACTCATCCAGCTCCCAAGCTAAAAAAAATTTGGGAAGTCTCCCAAATAATTGTCAGAAATTTCCAGCAGAGCTATGTGCCAGAGAGAGACATCAGCATAGACAAAAGTCTAATGGCCTAAAAGGGAAGGCTCAGCTGGATACAGTAGATCGCGTCCAAGAGAGCACGATTTGGCGTCAAACCCTACCTGCTGTGAGAATCCTCTACCGGCTACATATGGAACACAGTCATATACACCGGCAAAGGCACAAAATTTGATCCCAAGTACAGCAACTACAGAATGGCAACATCTTCTATCCTGTCACTTACTGAGCCTCTGCTAAACCAAGGCTACTGTGTAATGACGGACAATTTCTACACCTCTCCAGAACTTTACGAAGTTCTTCTTCAGTACAGAACGGATGCCTATGGAACCGTTCGGGCTAACCGGTGCAACCTGCCATCCATGTTTGCAAAAAAAAAACAAACTAAAGTCAGGAGAATTCGCTGCCTGGCAAAAAGGCAAAATGATGGCACTTAGATGGCGGGACAAGAAGCATGTGTGCCTCCACAGTGATGGTACAAACAAAAGGTGAGAAAAACATGCAGAAGCACCAGGTTCTCATTGACTACAACAGCACCATGGAAGGTGTCAACAGAGCTGACCAAGCTATGACATTCTAACCGGCGATGAGAAAGCAGCAGAGGATATTCTGGCATCTTCTGGAACAGTGCTTGTGGAATGCCTATATTCTGTTCCGCAAAAACAGTGACAAGCCTGTGCTTCATGCGGACTTTATCTGGAAAATGGCGGAATCCATTTTCCTCAAGCATCAAACACCATCAGTGTCTGTGGGTAGATCCGGACGTGCTGTGGGAGTTGTCAACCCAGAACATCTGACTGGACATCATTTTATGGACCACATCCCACCAACCCAAAAAAAGGCAGCACCTATACAGATGTGCATGGTATGTTGCACTCAGCGAGATGAGAGTGGAAAAAAAATCCGCAAGTAAACGAGGTTCCACTGTCCTGATTGCGATGTCAGACTTTGTGCAGTCCCGTGTTTCAAAATTTACCACACCCGTGATGTTTTCTAAAACAAAATGCAGTGTCTATATAATATTGTTTGGATAGAGTTCTGTGTGTTTGATTTGATTACATTATTTAATTTATTATTTTTTATAATATTATAATTTAATTTATTAAACTTTATTGCACCAAGGATGTCTACTAGACTCTTGTGTAAACAGATTTCAGTGAGTTATTCTTAAGAATTACAGGCCTACAATAAAAAAAACATATTTCCATTGAAAACAATGTACAGCTTTTAGCACAGAAATACTGACATAATCATACCACTATGGAGGTTAAAACATTTTCTTTAATTAGTTATTGTTTAAAAGGTAAAATTTAACATGGCAGAGAAAAATCCCAGTACCTGTTTGTTGCTACTCTTATAGTGTGTCAACGACTCATACAGATGGCAATATGGACGGGCTCTCTTTCCTTTGCCTACATAAAACACTCCTTGGACAAAAGTGCGGAAGCATTCAGGTAGAGATAAGGTACGGCAGCGAGATGGAAGGTTTCTGGTCACCCTAAAGAGCAAGAAAAAGCATTGGAATTATTTCTAAATTGTTAAATAGTCATATAAATCTAATACAAAGAAAAAGGCACTAGTGATTGATAATTCTATTACAGTTACAAAAAAGAACACACACACACTAAACTAGCCAATTTTGTACAATTCGCAGAAAGTGAGTCCATGGATTCAGCGCTTTCAACAGTCACTTCCTCCTGAAGCCTTGACATTCTTATGAGTTGCCCAATGATGAAGGCATCTCATCATGCCAACCTTCCTCATATACCCAGGAAAACATACAGTATACTAACTACCTCATCACACCACCTTACATAGGCTAGATGACAAAAATGTAAACTGTAAACCTCGCTTTCTGAAGTAATGGGCCAAATAATTCCCATAAGCCGGCCAGAGATTATGCGATTTTCCTTCCAGCAACCACAGGCTGCAAAATCACTCAATTACTTGATCAACGAAGTCAGCATTGAATCCTTTCTGTGGAGCTATTGTGTTCTCGTAGTGGGGGGGTGGGGAAGAGCCGTCCCTGCTGGTAGAACACGGTGATTATCCCTAGTGTCTATAGCAGCTGGCAATAATCGCATGACAAATCTGACAGGCTGGTTGTACCCAAGTCATACAACCAGCCTGCCCATAGATGGTTTGGATCTTGGCTGGTCCCTGATTTGAACGGAATGAATTGTATAGTGTTTGTTTTGGAAGAAGCACAGCACCAAGCATCTTGAATCAATAGCACTGGATACTTTATATACTGTATAAATAAGCACAGGCGCTTTTTTTGTTGAATAATTTTATTAAGAATTGTATGATTTGTTTATGAAATGGGGAGTAGCAACACTGTTGCAAAGTAGAGTGCTGTTTATATACTGTATGCGCACAAATATCTTGGACACTCAGCACAGAGCATGTTTTGGTACTCCTGCAGACTATCTCCTCACTTGATTCTTCAAGAAAAGTCAGTAAGTGACTCAGCCAATTGTGTCCAAATATTAAACACGTAATTATTTACTTTATCACTTTAGCGTATTTTATATCCTGTAGAAAAATAACTGAAGTAAGCCATACCTATAAAAAGAACATAGTCAAGGTAGTCAAAGCTCACCTTTCCTCTTGCTTGCAGTACACAATGCCGATCCCATTGAGAAATCTGCAGCTGAAGACTGCAGGAAAACCAACACCTCTGGGACTATGGACTTCCCGGGTCCCTCACCACTCTCACTTTTTTTTCCTGATGACCTTCAAGTCAAAGTGTCAGTTTCACAGCAGACTTCAGGAGTTTTTCTCAAAATCAGAGCACCATTCAGCACAGGCCGGGAAATGTGGGTATTTACTATTCTTTCTTACAAGTATTGCTTCTGTCAGTTACTTTTCTATAGCAACAGGAACACTTTAACCTCTTGATCCCCAAGAAGGTTTTACCCCCTTCAGGACCTGGGCAATTTTACTATTCAGCACTGCGCTGCTTTAACTAGCAATTGCAGTCATGTAACACTTATAATTTTTTTCCACACAAATAGAGCTTTATTTTGGTGGTAGTAGATCACCACTGTTTTTTTTATTATTATATAAACAAAAAAGACTGAAAACTAGGGATGCACTGAAATTTCAGTGGCCGAAACGTTTCGGCTGATAACACCCCTTTCAGCAGTAATGAAAAAAGCACCGATAAAGGTGCCGAAAAAACCGGCACAGGGCATACAGATATATGAAGGAAATATGGCCTCCACTCATCTCTATGCCCTTGGAGGCCCAGAGCAATTTCACTTCCGGTTCCAGCAATTTTTTTTTTTTTTTAAGCACTAGATCAAGGCTTTTTTTTTATCCAATGCTTTACATTGCACAGGAGAGATGTGGGGTCTTATTGACCCCATATGTCTCCATAAAAAGGACCTGTCACTAATTATTTCTATCACAAGAGATGCATGATTTTCTTGTGATAAGAATAAAAGGG